CCCTCTCCCCACAGGAAATTCGCCCCCCGCTGCTCTGTGTGTGGTGACCCCATCATGCCTGAGCCAGGGCAGGAGGAGACAGTGCGGATTGTGGCCTTGGACCGGAGCTTCCACATAGGCTGCTACAAGTGTGAGGTGAGAGCAGGGCTGGGAGCCCCAACATCTGGGTTCCCTGGGAGAGGGGAGGGGGCTGGGGGGTGAAAGCAGCGGGGGCTGTGGGCCCAGACCCTGGCTTCTCATCCCCTGTCCGTTGCCCCCAGGAGTGTGGGCTGCTGCTGTCATCGGAGGGCGAGGGCCGGGGCTGTTACCCCCTGGATGGGCACATCCTGTGCAAGACATGCAGTGCCCGGCGCATCCAGGAGCTCTCGGCCACCGTCACCACCGACTGCTGAGCCCATGCCCCCTCCCCACCTGGCTCCACCCCCTTCCCCTTAGGCTGACCTTGGAGCCATGCCCCCTTTCATCCAGCCCCACCCCCTTGGCAGCCATCCCCTTAGCCCTCCCCCCTCCCTTGCTGTCCCAGCCTTCTGATTACTCCCCCTATCCAGCTAGGGGTGCTGATATCACAGGGGGTGGGGCCAGGACACAGCTGTGGTGGTGATGTCACAGGGCGGGGCTTCTAGGGGGAACCCAGCCCTGCTCCCCTCCCAGGGTCTGTCCCTTTTGGGGTTCCCTGAGCTGGTCTCTGGGGAGGAGGGGGGTGGGTGGGAGCTCACATGCCTGGGTCCTTCTTCTGCCCTTCTCCATGTGTGTTGCCCCTCCACTAAGTGTGAATTTTTTTGGGTGAAACATTGGAATTAAAGGGTCTTTAGGTAAGAAACTCCCTGTGTTCCGTGCTCAGTTCAGCCCAGTGGGGGGTAGGGGGGCATGGGGCCTGGATGCCTGGGGTCTCTGGGCTTCCAGGACTGACCCACTCGTCCCACTGGGTATCGAGCCATCTTCATCCTCTCTGCCCCACAACTCAGTGGGCCAAAAGAAACCTGCCCAGTGCTGATCTCAGGCCCTGAGCCTGCATCCCTTGCAGGGTGAGGGACGTCCCTGGGGATCTCCTGAACTCCTTTGCAGAGGCAGGAAACCAGTGGCTTTGTCTGTGTCCCCCTGCTCCTGTTCAGCGCGCGATCCTGCACACACCTGCTTCCTCTTTTTATGCTCTCGTTTTTGCAGCTTCTTCTTCATCGGCACCAATTAAGTCATTACCAGTGGTAGGTTTTGGAACAGGAGCTGCACAGAAATGACTGCCGTTGCTGACTTGGTATTAAATTTATAGCTTCCTGCTTCTATCTTGGGCCTAGTCTGGCTCCAAACCTTAGTTTGACTCCACATCTCATGGTACGGATGGATGGAGATGGAAAGAAGTTGTGTTGAGTGGGTGGATGGAGGGATGGAAGGATGGGTGGATGAAGCATGTGTGGATGAACAGCCAGGTGGATAGCTGAATGCATAGCTATAGGGTGCGGAGTGGGTGGATGGATGGATAGAGATAGCAGGTGCAAACATAGGAACGGATGGATAGATACATGGATGGAGTGTCCACGTGTGTTGGGGTTTAGGGGTGGATTGCATGTGTGGATATATTGACATGGATGGATGGAGGGAAAGATGGAAATTTGGATGGAGGGATGGATGGACAGATACATGGAGAGAGCAAGATGGGCCTTTGGGTAGAAGGACTGATGGACAATTGGAGGGATGGATGTATAGATAGATAGAGGTGGGGGGTGCATGGATGTGTGTGTGGGTGGATGGCATGTGTGGATGGATGGACAGATAATGGATGGAGATAGAGGAATGGATGGACAGAGAGATGGAAGGATGGCTAGAGGGGTGTGTGTGGCTGGATGAACAGAGGTCAATGGATGGGGTACAGAGGGATAGAAGGATCGATGCATAAGAAGATAAAGGGTGAAGAGGGATGGATGGATGGCTAGCAGCAGGGGTGGCCATCTCCCCTTCCCCCCCCCCCCCCCCCCGAGCGCTGTTTTCCTAGGGGCCTCAGGGCATTTGCAAGGAAGTGAATCACTTCCCCTCCATCCCAGCCCCACAAAACAGGAACCAGGAGGAGGCACATCAGCACCTCCGGAGGAAGCACCACAGGGAGGGGTCCAATCCCAGACTGCTGGGTTCTTTGCAGCTCCGGGAGGGGAGGGGGCTGGAGGGTTAGAGTAGTGGGGCTGGAGGCCCAGACACCTGGGGTCTCTGGGAGGGGAATGGGGGGAGGGGAGTAGGGGGCCCAGCAGGAGCACTGAATTTGCACTCCAAACCGAAATCCCTTGCTAGGTGAGGGACATCCCTGAGAGTCTCCCAACCTTCTTTGCAGAGGCAGGAAAACAGCAGCTGTGTCTGTGCCCCCCCGCTCCCATCCAGCTCACACCCCCACATGTGCCTGCTTCCTCTTTATATGCTCTTATTTTTTAAGTTTCTTCATCACCAGCACAAATTATGTCATTATCAGTGACAGGTTTTGGAACAGGAGCTTCACAAGAATGACTGCCATTGCTGACTTGGAGTTAAATTTATAGCTTCCTACTTCCATCTTGGGCCTAGTCTGGCTCCAAATCTTAGCATGACTCCACATCTCATGCTATTGACGGGTGGGTGGGTGGATGGATGGAGAGTGTTGAGTGGATAAATGGATGGAGATGGAGAGAGGCTGTGTTGAGTGGGTGGGTGGGTGGATGGAAAGATGGATGGATGGGTGTTTGGTTGGTGAGTGGACAGGTGGAACAGTGGATGGATGGAGATGGAAACAGGTTGTGTTGAGCAGATGGATGGAGGGATAAAGATAGCAGGTGCAAATAGAGGGATGGATGGACAGATACATGGATGAAGGGTGCACATGGTGGGGAGGGGGTGGATCGTGTATGGCTATATGGACAAGGGTAGATAAACAAAGAGTGTGGATGGATGGAGGGATGGATAAATGGGGTGTGTGAATGGATGGATGGCTAGAGGGGGAGGTGTGGATGGATAAGCAGAGACCTAGATGGATGGAGGGGTGGAGGGATAGAAGGATGGATGGATAGAGATATAGAGGGTGTGGATGGATGGATTGTGCCTATGGATGGATCCATGTGTTGATGGAGAGATGGATGGACAAATGATGGATGGATGGCTATTAGGGCTTTGCATGTCTTTGGACCGTGCTTTAGATCTGGAGAAGATTTGGATGCTTTGGCATCCAAAGCAGCATGTCCGGATTGAAGCGCTGGCTTCATTAGGCTTTCCAAAGTGGTTTGGAGCTTCCAAACTCCTCCAGAAAAGCTTCAGAGCCGCTTCGAGATCCGGCCATAGGGTATAATGGGGAATCAATTAAATATATATAACTTTGTTGTTTTTGTCTGATTTGGATTAAATTTGCAGGGGTGGTAGCGTCTACTGAGAGCATGAAGCCTGCCAAGTTTCAAGAAGATCAGTGCAGAGGTTCAGGGAGAACTGCACCCCAAATTCCTGAAAGCAAAACTCATGTCACTGGGTATGTTTTACACCCCAGAAGGGTGAAAACTGCAGGGGTGGTGGCCCCTGGTGAGGCCACAAAGTCTGCCAAGTTTCAAGATCGGGGCAGGGCTTTGGGGGGAACTGCACCTTAAGCTGCTGACAGGCAAAACTCATGACATAGATGACCCTGTGTGTGTTAAGAAGCTGCAGGGTGAAAGCTACAGGGATGGTGGCCCCTGCTGTGGCCACGATGCCTGCCAGCTGTCAAGGAGATAGGTGCAGGGGGTTTCTGGGGCCCTGCACCCGTAGCTGCGAACGGACAAAACTCATGCCATGGGTGCTTGTGCAACTGACTGTCTCGGTCTTGGGGGAGTTGATTGTCTGTATTGATTATTTCCTCTCCTTAGTCTCTGGTTTTGTAGGTGTTAATTGTTGCTAATTAACTGGTTACATTAGCTAGCAACTGTGTATTGAGTTGGTCCCTGAGTGAATCATGATTGATTGGTAACTGGTAACACAGTAGCTTAGCAACCAGGCCTACAGTAGTCCCCACCCCCTGCAAGCCAGACACAGTTCCCCAAGCACCCATGTCATGAGTTTTGCCTGTCAGCAGGTAGGGGTGCAGGTCCCCAGAACTGCACCTATCTCCTTGACAGCTGGCAGGTGTCATGGCCGCAGCAGGGGCTACCATCCCTGCAGCTGTCACCGTGCTGCGCTTTAACACACAGTGTCACCCATGTCATGAGTTCTGCTTGTCTGCAGCTTGAGGTACAGTTTCCCCCAAACCCCTGCACTGATCTCCTTGAAACTTGGCAGGCTTCATGGCCTCACCAGGGGCCACCACCCCTGCAATTTTCACCCTACTGTGGTGTAACACACAGAGGTGATATGAGTTTTGCTTTCAAGAATTTGGGGTACAGGGACTAGGAAAGAGGAGGGGTCTGAAAGTAAAGGCAGGCCTAGGGAAGAAGGGGTGGAGCAGAGGGGGAGGGGGCAAGGCTTCAAAGGAAGAGGGGGCAGAGAGAGGAGTAGCCATAAAGTAGGGGGCGGGACTAGTTGGGGAAGGGGGCGTGGGGTCCAAGGACAGGGAAGGGGTTGGGAGGAAGAGGGGCAGGGGTGGGGCTTTGATGGGGAGGGATGGGGCCTTTGAGTCAGGGATGGTTCTAACAAGCAGGCTGGAAAGGAAAGGAAAGGGCATGGCTTCTGTGCTGAGGAAGGAAGAAGCAGGGCCAGTTTTAGTCTCCCCCCCCTTCCAGGCTCCCACTGGGTGAGAAGCAATGGGTGTCCCCCCACCTGGACACCTGTCCCCCACCTCAGGTGGGAAGTGGGCATGGCCTGATGGCCCCTCCCCCCCTTTTTATAGGGATTGGGGCCAGAGGCAGCTGGACTACTGGCAAGGGCACAGGCAAGGGGAGGGGTCTCTGGAAGCTGACCACTAAAGGGTGAGGACAAGCCAGTGAGGTGGCTGATGAGAGGGGGGGGGAGGGGGCACTGCATGTGACCACACCCCCCAGGAATAGGCCACGCCCTCTGCTGTGTCTCTGTGACTTCTATAGGCCTCCCCGCCCCACCCCCATGGATAGGCCATGCCCTCACAACCAGGTCATGTGGCCAGATGCAGCCAGCTTTGGGGTGTGTCACCCTGGTCACCCATCCAGCCCCAAACTCGGCCCTCTTGGTTCCTGAGCCTGGGCCCAATACTGCCCTTGTAGCACCTCCAGGTGGGCCAGTATCTACTCCAGCTGCTCTAGGAACTGTGCCCTGGGGTGCAATTAATGGGGGGGTTAATTAATAAGAGAAGGGGGGGCAATTAACTCCTACTACCCTTCCCTCTTTCCCAGCTTCCTGCAGCCCCTTTGCCCTGCCCCTTTTGGAGGCTCCGCCCCCACTCACTGGGTTCAGTCCCTGCAGCACCGCCTGCAGCACCCGCTGCTTCTCACCCAGGTGGCAGACTGGAGGTGGGGAGTCAAACAGGCCCTGCCCCTTTTTCCTGCCATGTCCCTGCCCTCCAAATCCCACCCCTTGGGCACAGAAGCTCTGCCGCTGAGCCCTGCCCCTTGCCTTGTAGGCCCCTCCCCTCCCCTCCCCGTCCAAGCCCCTCCTCCTGCCCAGAGGCCCTGTCTCTGCCCTCTCTGGCTCTGCAGCTCCCCTTTCAAGCCCATCCCCTGCCTCACAGAAGCCCTGCCCCTACCTCCGAAGCCATGCCCCTTTCCCTCCTAGCCCTGCCCATACCATCTGGTCCCTCCTCTTTCCCCCCTGCACTTCCTTCCAAGCCCCTCCCCCTGCCTCCTCCCTGTCTTGCCCGCCCATTCCCTGCCCTAGGCTATGCCCCCATTCACTGTGCAAGCTCAGGGCAATGCTGCCCAGCCTCAGGCCCAGGTGTGAGGGTGGCAGGAAGCATGCCCAGGCCCTGGTGTGGGAGTGGGTGGGGCCAGATCAAGGTCAGCCACAGACCCTACCAGCTCTGGGATGCAGGCAGTTGGGGTGACGGGGTGGAAGGACCCAGGCATATAGGGAGGGAGTTGGACTAGGCACCTAGGAGTCAGGTAAGGGACCTGGGTTCCTAAGCCCCTCCCAGGTACCTTCTCCTCGTGCACATCTGGGGGCTGGAAATCTGGGTAGTCCTTGGGCATGGCCTGGGAGGGCAAGGGACAGGTCAGGACCCCTCTCCTGCAGCGATCCTATGTGTCCAGCTCCCAACCCCACCTGCTCCCACTCCCAGGAGAACCCAGGCCTCTGGGCCCCCAGTGGGTCCCCCCTCCATCCTTCCCTCCCCTGACAGCCCAGGTGCCTAGGATCCCAGCACCCTCCCTAGGGCCCAGCCTGAGCTGTCATGGCTAACCTGGCCTCCTGGGTCCCTGAAATCCACCCCTGACCTCTGTGCCCTCCCCTGTGTCCTTTGCTCTGTCAACACCCCCCCGGCTCCAGTCGGGCCCAAACAGGGGCAGGGACAGGAGGCAGTGACACCGAAAGAGCCTGGAGGGACCCCAGGCATCTGGGCTCCCAGCTCAAACCCCCAACCCTCACTTGCCCCGCAGAAGACCCAGATGTCCAGGCTCCCAGCCCTCCCTGTTTTCACCCACCAGGCGTCGCTGCTTACCCAGGGAACATAGGCATCCAGGCATGGGGGCCAGCTCCTGCAGGCGTCCATCTGTCCTGTGGGAAGCCAGGCTTCTGGGATATAACCCCCCATCTGTTTCCCTCTGCTGACACAGCCCCTCCGGCTTCCCCTTTCTGGGGAACCAGGGGCAGTGGGGAAGGAGGGGGGCATTAGCACCCCCCCCAGTCTCCCATCCAAGCCCAGACCCCAGCTCTCCCTGCTTCACACCCCCAGTCAGATACCTGAGATCCTTGGGCCAGGGGAAGGGGCTGAGGGGTGAGAACAGGGGGGAAGTGGGTGGGGAGCCAGACACTTGGGTCCTTCCCCTGCCCTTCCCTTCCCCATGTGTGTTGCCCCTTCCCCCACCTGTGAATTTTTTTGAGGGGAAACATTGCAATTAAAGGGGCTTTTGGTAAAATCTCCCCATGTCCCATGCTCATTGCAGCCCCAGATGCCTGGGTCCTCTTGTGGGGGTGGATGGACATGGTAGGATGGATAAATGGATAGTGCATGTGGATGTATGGATGGAAGTTGTGAATGGAGGGATAGGGATAGAGGAATAGATGGAGGGTGTAGGTGGTTGGATGGATGGAAAGTGTGTAGATATCTGGACAGAGGGATAGATCAACAGGGTGTGTGGTGAGGCAGGTATATGGGATAGATAGAAAGACAGATGGATAAATACGGCAGGTATGCTGGATGGATGAATGGATGGAAAAAGTGTAGAGATCTGGACAGCTGGATAGATTGATTGGGTGGGTGTCTGGGTGGGTGCATAGAGAGCAACAGATAGATGGGTGACAGACGATGGATGGATGGTTAGAGGGGGCTGTGCATGGAGGGATGGATGGACAGATGAATGGATAGTGGTGGGGGTGGCTGTCACCCCTCAGGCCCTGCCCATGCCCCCCCACTGCACCCAGGAAAACTTCCTGAATCACTTCTCTCCCCACCGGACCTGGGAAAGGGGAAGCCAGAGAGGCCACATCAGCACCTCCAGAGAAAGTACCAGAGGAGCAGATTCCCAGACTCCTGGGTTCTTTGCAACTCCAGGACCCGGGGGAGGGGGCTGAGAGCAGTGGTAGGCTGGGGGCCAGGATGTCTGGGGTCTCTGGCAGGGGAATGGGGGGCTGCAAGGTAATGTCCCCCTGTGTGGGGATGGATTGAGAGTGAGATCAATGCATGGGGTGTTGGGTTGGTGGGTGGGTAGATGGATGGATGGAGATGGAAAGAGGTTGTGTCCATGCGTCCATCTATCTGTCCATCCCTCCGTCTCTGTATCCATTTAGCCATCTGCCCTCCACCCATCCATCCACCCAAAGCCCCATCTTGCTCCATCCCTCCATCCATACTTCTGTCTTGCCCTCCATCAATCCATCCCTCCATCCACACCCTCCATCTCTGTCCCTCTACCCCTATCCATCCATTCACACCTTCCATCCATACAGCCACACACACTATCCATTTATCCAGTCTGCACCCTATTGGTGGATGGATGGATGTGTGCATCAATGGATGGATGGATAGGTGGGTGGGTGGGTGGATAGATGGAGACAGATGGATGCGTGAAGAGGAACAGATGGATGGATGGATGAAGGGAGGGTATGAGTGGATAGATAGGTGATAGATGGGCCACTCTATAGACGGAAGGATGGATAGGAAGATGGGGAGAGGGTGTGGATGGTTGGGTGGATGGATGGACATGGTATGGATGGATGGATGGACACAGTGTGGATGGATGGATAAATCAATGGACTGAAGGGATCAACTAATGGATGGTTGGATGGACGGGTGGACAGACAAATTGAGGGGATGGATATATGAACTGAAAGTGTGGACAGATGGATGGATGGTGGGTGGAAGGAGGATGTCAGATGGAAAGACCAATGCTCTGAGGGGGCTGTGGATGATCCCAGTCTCCCCCCAGGCCTTGGCCCCACCTCTGCCTGCTCAGCATATCCCAGGGGGGAGACCCTGGGCTCTGGCCCCCAACCCACTGCCCCCAGTTCCCAGGAAAGTGGAAGTTGGAGAGGCTGCATCAGCAGGAGGAAACAGCTGGGGGGGTAGTGTGGGTTTATATCTCAGATGCCTGGGTTCCCTCTGGATAGATGTACACCCGCAGGAGCCAGCCCTCATGCCCAGATGCCTGGGTCCTCTGCGAGGGCAGTGGAGCCTGGTGGGTGAGAGCAGGGTGGCAGACAGCCCGGATACCTGGGTCATTGGGCAGGGGGGGCTGAGCTAGGAGCCCGGATGCCTGGGTTCTCGGGGGGGGCAGTGGGGGCTGAAAGGGGTGGGGGGTCAGACCAAGTCCAAGCTGGGAGCCTGGATGCCTGGGTTCCCTCTGGGCCCCTCCGGTGTCACTGCCCTCCTGTCCCTGCCCCCTTGGACCCAGGGGGATGTTGACAGAGCAAAGGGCGAGAGGAGGGGCATGGAGGCCAGGGGTGGATTTTGGGAACCCAGGATTCCAGGACAACGGTGAGAGCCCAAGCCAGGCCTGGGGCAGGGTGCTGGGTGCCCGGACGCCTGGGTCCTGTGGGGGGTGGGAGTAGGGGGTGCTGGGAGCCAGACGCCTGGGATCTGTGCAGGACAGGGGGTCCTGACCCATCCCTTGCCCCCCCAGGCCATGGCCAAGGACTACCCGGATTTCCAGCCCCTGGACGTGCATGAGGAGCTGGGCCCGCACCTCCCAGCAGGTACCTGGATAATCGGACACCTGGGTCCCTTGCTCAACCCCCTCCCCAGGTGCCTGGGTCCTTCCCACAGCTGTCATCCTCTGGGACCTGGGTCCTGGAGGGGGCAGGGCTTGTGGCTGGCCCTGACCTGGGCCCACACCCTCTGCCTAGGGCCCTCCCCCTCCCACGCCATGGCCTGGACGCGCCTCCTGCCGCCTTCCCGCCTGGCACTGCTGGCACTGGTGCTGGGCTTAGGCCTGAGCCTGGGCAGCATTGCCCTGAGCGTGCGCAGTGAGTGGGGGCTGGGCCAGGGGTGGGCCTAAGGGGCAGGGGGTTGGGCTGCAATGAAGGGAGGAGGCAGGGGGAGGGGTGGAAAGGAAGGACAGTGGGAACCAGGAGGGGCCAGAACATGGGGTCAGGGCTAGGAGGGGAAGGGCATGGCCTCTGGGGCAAGGGTGAGGTCTGTGGACAGGGTAGAGGTTTGGGAGAAAGGGACACAGCCTCTGTGGGGAAGGGCCTATGGACAGGGGAGGCAGTTGGGAGGAGGGTGAGGGGTATCTATGGTGCAGG